AGTTAATTCTGCCTATGTCTTTGTATCTATACTTCCTTTCTTTCTGCTTACCCAAATCTTCCTCCTTGCTAATCTATAGCTTACACCTCTACCTTGTTGTGCATACCATACTATTTCACACATATTATACAGTCATTTCCATTGCTGACTGGACCTCCTAGTGGCAAAATTGTTGCGCATCTGCAAACTCCAAACTTAGTACAGCGCCTTGAACTGTAGCATAGTGATTAATAATATTCATCAACTTAATTCAGCATATTTTAATAAATAGTTTTTATTCATTTTATATCTATTTGCTCACATATTACTTTATATACCTTATCCCTTGCTATGGCAAGATCATGGTGAAACAAGACAGGCATGATCTATGTTCTCAACATGTTCACACTGTAGTATGGAAGATATACATGGAAGGAAGCATCAAAAGTAACATATTTGCAAAATTCAGCAGTGAGTTTAACTGGCTAAATGCATGCCAGGGTGAATGAGTCAAAATTTGCTTGAGGAAATGAATGGAATAACACATTGGTTGAACCAGATCCTAACAGCATCTCCTGTTTGTGCATCCATTACAAAAGCCACCTCTGCAGGTCCGCGAAACAGACACCAAAAAGAAGTGCTGACTGTGCAGGATATGGTATCTTTTAACTGCTCTTTGTCTTTTCTGAGCTCTTGCTGTCTGGGGCTGAATCACACCTTTTAGTTCTGAATAAGCTAGTTGTAAGAAAGTGGGCATACAGCTTTGGTTGCCTGTCCCACAGCATTAAGATTAGTTCTTCGAGTATGACTGCAACCTTACCCTTTTTCCTGCTTTTTTATTAATCATCTATAATTACTTCTAAAATTTCTAATCGAAACCAGTCTTACAAATCTGGTCCAAGCTTTGGAGACAGGTAAGTCTGAGTTTGAATCTCCATATCATCACTAATTAGGTATTTACATAAACTTTGGAAAATTACCTTATCCAAGCTCCAATATTCTCAACTACAGAAAACACTTACTTCATGAGATTCTTGTGCAAATTAGATGAGACAATTATATACAGTATGGAGCTCAGTGCTTGGTACTCAATATGAGATAGCATGGGTCATCCTCAACATCATCATCTTTAGCATAATTGGCAGTAATCAGAGTTTGTGAATTGAATTAGTTTTCTACATTCTTATTTCCACTCTCATTTTCATATGTGTTAGCTCTAATGACCAGGCAACTGTATTGCTGAGCATCATTGTTAACTGTGGAAAGCATTTTCATTTTTGTTTTCTTTTCCGTTTTAATCCATGTGTATGCTTTCCTATTCATAATCATTTTACATTGAGTTAGTTATGCACCAGGCATTTAAAAACACCAAAAATATCATCTCATTGAAATTGAAAGTGAAATGATTCAACAAGATATAGATCAATAAAAGACTAAATTAAGATTTTCATCTCAGCCCTTTATATTTCACTCTAAGCAGTATGATAATTGTTCACTGATTTTTGATAATTAGTGTGCTCTACCCTTCAAGTGTGTTCAGATATACAAAATCTTGTATTCTGTTAGGCTTTGAAAATTGTTTACTCAATAGAGAGCACAAGTTAAAAAATATGTTCAAGTTCTTTCTAAAATAGTTACAGTAGTTTATTTATAAAATGAGTCTAGACATAGTGCCTCAAGACTCAAGTCCTCTCTTAAGTGTCATGACAGGAGCAAAGCAAGCACATTTACACAGACAAATCTTAACCTTGAAATGCTTACAATTCAGTACGGGTCAATTCATACAAATACAGGATACATTTAACCTAAGATAAAGACCACCAAAGGAAAGCATAGATTAGGTCATTCACCATGCCTGCAGGTGGCTAAGGTCAAGCACTGTTGTTTATTTCCTTTCGGTCCCTTGCTATGGACGAACCCAAGGAATGATACTATGTAAGTCCAGTCATCTGGATAAGTTATTCAGTAAATGAATCGGGTTGTATTCCACATCAGATTGTTGAAATACCTTCTTCCTACACTGGTCATCCACCTGTTCCTCCATTTCAGGTTTAAGGTTCCATCTACAGGTCTTCCTCACCCCACAACCTGATCCACTCATAGCTGATCTCCCTACATGCCCGTAAACGTACTTGCCCACTCTAAAGTAGCAAATCCTATGGACTGGACTGAAATTACTAGAGTCTCTGCACTTTGACCTTTTGAAATAAAAAACTGTGTCTTGCACACCAATTACCTAATACAAAATAAGCATGGTATTTGATAAATACTAAATATATAAAAGTGTTTAGTTATCATTTACTGGTGGCTAAGAGCACGATCTGTAAAGTGAATGTCCGCATTTATGACTACGAAGCATCCTAAGCAAGTAACTTAACATTCCTGCACCTCAGTTTTGTCATCTGATAACTGAAGTACTAGCAGTGTTTACTTCAGGAGATTCTAGAATACTAAATGTCCTAAAGCAACAAAGTGCTCTGAATAGTTCCCTGACACATGGATTGCAAAACTGTCATTAACATTTTGTTATTTTGTCATAGGTGTTTGTATCTGTTCTCATTTATCTCAAGCAAGTGGCTGCTGCTTGGCTTTTGTTTTTTCTCCTAGCATTGCTATTTCTGCCCTTATCCAATGTTTGCTCTTTACACACACACAGAGTGAGAGAGAGAGAGGGAGAGACAAAAGCAGATTGACGGTCAGCATTATTTGAGAGTATGCTCAAACCAGTTTTGAGAACCTTTCTTTGAAATTTTAGTGAGGTAATACTATTTTGGGAGAAAGATCAATAAATTGGAAATGGTCTAAGGCCTAGACTGAAAGTATCCACTTTAAAATAACGTGTGTGCTACTGCATGCTGTTTAATGGCTGGATGAGTTCTTTAGACATGTTGTGTTTAATTTAATGTTAGAATCCCAGCATTTATTAGTCACAGAAAGCTTTCTGCCCTTTAAGAGACAGCGGGATGAGTTCTGTAACAGGAGTAATGAGACTCCTTAATGCATAAGATTTTTAGGCTGCATTTGATGTGCTAAATTCTGAAAATGTTATTCATAGTGTTCTAAAAGTCCTGATGTTTTTAAATACTTGGCCAAAGCTTACTTTGTGTTGACTTTTAGACTTTGCGTATTATCTAATAAAATCCTTTAAAAAATAACATGCCCTGATGATGTAAAGTGGATAATTTATTGTCATTGTAATATGATGAATTGTGCAAGATGGCATAAATACGACAGAACATTGCGAGTAATTGAGAAGGAACGATTAAAATGCATTCATGCTAACCAAGTGCTTAGTGTTGTACCTGTGCCAAGGAGTCAAAAACTCAAGGAGCTTCACACGGATAAGCCAAGAATTATGGAAAAAAATCTCAGTGCATCAGAGTGACAAAATGAGAAAGGGAATATTTCCTGCTTAATAAGCAGCTTTACCTGTTGCAAAAGACTAAGTATATTTTTGTCAATTATGTATTTTAATATCTTAGAAAATCAGATCTTTACAGACAGAAATATGCAAATTGTTAGTAAATAAGAGTTAGCAAGGTGACAACCACAATTAGTCAAAATAACATCTTAGTAGAAACACCAAAGGATGCAATAAATTACAGATTATACAAACTAACAAAACTCCGATAAAAAAAGAATATCCATCTTTACAAGATCATGGGTTTAAACTCTGAAATATTTATTTGTATGATCAATATAATATGGTTCTATACATAAGTATATAGTAACATAAATAAGCATTTCTTGAAAATACATTTCAATGATTCTTTGTAAAATACTTTAATATGCACTCGCTGTTGTGCTTTTCACTTCATAAACATTTCTTTATATGAAGGCCAAGTTCAATCTTGTGTTTTTTACTTTGAAATATTCCGAGTTGTCAACTTTGAGGGCATTGTTCCAAATAATTATTCTTATCTAAACATTGGCCTGTTTCTTTTGAAGGTGAGGGAATGATATCTGGTGTCCCCAGAGTATTTTAACTATGATGAACTGCTGTTATTATCATCAAGCATGGTAGTAATTACAACTAATGAAATTTATGGAGTAATAAACTTAAAATACCAGCTATATTTACAACTTTTGTGCTATATCTCTTAGGGAGTTTCTCTGGATATATATTCCTGTGCTGTTCTTCAGTATAGATTTCTTGCTCATATTCTGAGAGACTATCCTCCTCTAAATTTTTTGTGAAAGAAACATTATGTATGGTGGTATAAGAGTTAGAAATAAAATACTGTCCAGTGCTTACTGACAGATGAGGTTCATTCAGAAAAGAAACATAAATAGAAGCCAAATAGTCATGGATACATGAGGCATGGTAGTCAGCATGAGCTGTTACATGGCAGGCACCACTTTGTACAAAGGTTCACAGGCAATCCTTTCAGAAATAAGTTTATGGTTTTGTTGTGTTTGTTCGGCTTTTACCAGCACTGTCCTCTCTCCTTGTGTTACCGAAAGCTTGCTGACCTGATTACTTTATATCAAGTACTCTTAATGTGGAATATCCTGTAGAATAATCATGTTTGCAATCCCAGTAGCACAATGAGTGTAAGTGTATTTCCTGGTGCATAATCTAGCCAGAGCCCAGAAGACAAGGTTATTATTTCAAGGACATGTTTACTAACTTTGACAGTGATAGATTTCATTAAGATGCTATCACATCTCAATAAGGACACATTTATTTCAGCAGCATAGCTGATCATCATCGCCTAAATCCTGATGGGCATGTGTAAACTCTGGTCTTTTTGATGCTTCAGACTGAAGCTCCACAATAGTTCCCAACATTAAAAGATAGAGTTCCAATTAGCAATCTTCTGTTACCAATACATTTATAAGCCTATCATTTTAATATCCTAAAGACTTCTTCTAAAGAAAAATAAAAATACGTGATTTAACTCGCAAACACTGATTATGGGCACACAGCCATATGCAGTAATTCATCCTTATAAAGTGTTGACACAGGGACATTGGCCCCTGCCCAAGCTTAGTCTCTCACTTGCTGTTTTGTGTTCTAGATGACTAAGAATGGCACTGTAGAATCTGAAGAAGCTAGCACTCTTACAGTGGATGACATTTCTGATGATGATATTGATTTAGACAACACAGAAGTAGACGAGTACTTCTTCCTACAACCCCTGCCAACAAAAAAACGAAGGGCGCTACTGCGAGCCTCTGGAGTGAAAAAGATTGATGTAGAAGAAAAGCATGAGCTGCGAGCCATCCGCCTGTCACGAGAGGACTGCGGCTGTGACTGCCGTGTGTTCTGTGATCCAGAAACCTGCACCTGCAGTTTGGCAGGCATTAAGTGCCAGGTAAGGTCTTAGATTTCAGGGCATTCACAAACAAGTCATGATCCACAACCATTTTCTGAAGACACTGCTGTTGCATGCAATAGCATTTCTCACATTCAGAAAAAAACACTGTGGCAAGGGAAGGGGTATAGTTCAAAGAGAGATGTACTAGTTCAAGGACATTTGGGAAATACCTATAAGATGTGCTGTGAAAGACAAATCCACCAGCTTTTAATGGAAATTAATTCATCTTTGATTCCTATATTTATTATTAGTTTGTTTTGGGGTGTCTCACCAAAATTCAGAAAGACCATAGCATCTCTAACACACCCATTGGCATTTTCTGATCCATCTATGGGATATAAATGGTTGTGTATAGATGTTATGGAGTAGTGACAAAATTACTGGATGGGAACTTAAGAAAATGAAACTGTCTCTGCTATTGGCGGACTAAATAAAGTTGGCAAGTCAGGTAAACACTCTAGATTCAATTTCTTCATTCTTTTTAAAGAAATTTTATTTTTGATGATGTTTACATAATTGAGTAGGATGCATGCCACATGAACCACTGACCAGGGTGGGAAGATCAAGGAATGGGGGAAAATGAGACAGCTACCTACAATTTTTTCTTCCTGTATTTGGGGAAAAGGGGCAAAGGAGGGGAGAAGGATGCTCCTAGCAGCCCAACCACATCATTATCCATGGATGGGGGACAGCCACTCATTATTATCCTAGGGTCTCCAATATAGAGCATGTTCTATGGGTACTACTTAATAGGTTTTGATAGTTCTGAGATGCTGTTCATTTCATTGCTCCAAGGTCAAGGAATTCCTTCCAAGTTCCATTCGCTGACATAGTCCACCCTAGAGTTTCCACTCAGATACTTGCTCTCAAAGCCTGGTTGGGAGAGTTGTCCAATTTGCTCTGCCCTCCATTTTCTGCCATGGTACTAGACATCCTCTGCGAGCCTCAGTGAGACATCCCCCATTTGTGTCTGGCAATACCACCCACTACACAAGCTTTAGCAACTGAGGAAGCCCATTCTGACGCATGTACTCTGTGGTCAGACCACAGATCCTGTGATTTTCCATGTAGTTGACGTTTGGACTCCAGGGGTCCAGTTGTGGGGGTCCCCAAAGAAACATCACTAGAGGTGACCCCAGACCTGACTCCTGTGTGTGCCAGCCAGTATGAGGCCTGGCTCCATCCATCACCCACATTAGCCTAAACACATACTGGTACATTCCATCGTCTGGTCAGTTCTGTCCCCAGCCCCATCTTATACACAAACCAGTAGATGCTGTGACCCTGTCTACAACACATTCGGCCCTCACACACATCAGCAAAAACTGTAGCTTAGTTATAGCAGCCCCCAATAACTCCAGCAGGCCCAGCCCCATCTCTGGTTTCTGCACATGCCAATGTGCATAGCACCAATGGGTGCTACAGCTAGCTCAACCTGAACAGCCCCACTATCCACCCCACACTTATGCTCATGGGTGTTCTCGCCTGTCCAACCAGGTCCACCCCAACCCTGGTTCTCATGCTCACTGGTGGGAGCTGTAGTCCATCAGAGGGGCTCCCAGAGTTTCCCTACTAGCCCTAATCCCAACCCCAGATCCTGCAGTTTCTAGATGGTACTGTTGTCTGACCTGACAGGACCTGTTCCTATCTCTAGCACTTGTTGATGTTATGGCAGAGCCCAATCAGCCTGCACTTACTGAATCATACATGCAGCAATGGATATGGTCATTTAGCCCCTAACTCAGCTCACATACAAGCCAATGAGTTTTTTTTAACGTTGCTCAGCCTGGTCCACCCCAAGTTCCACCTATCATGCTCACCAGTTGGAGCAGTGGCCTGGCAGGGGAGTCCCTACAGCTTTCCTGCTGAGCTTATCCCTCCTCCCCGGGCCTCACATATGTTGGTGAGTGCTGTAACCCAAACTGGCATGGCCCACGTCCCTTCAATATTCATCTGCAGGTGCAGCAACCTGGCTCTGTCCAACCTGCTCCTGGTTCCAGCTCATGCTGGTGGGTGTTGCAGGTCAGCACAGCCTGGCCAGCCCCCAGTCTCATCCCTAATATGAACTTGCTGGTGTTACAGTCCAACCCAGCCTGTCCCACACGCTATCTGGCTCTCACAACTGTCAGTGGATGCTATGACTTGGCCCACCCTGGCCTGTCCTCAGACCTGACCCATACATATGCCAGTGGGTACTGTAACCTGACCTAGTCTGGGCTGCTCTCAGCCTTGGTTCTTATACTCACAGGCAAGGACTGCATTCTGACAGAGGAGTTCCCCAAGCATCTCTATCTGAATACTTCCCAGTTGCAGATCTCATGCACAGTGATGGGTCCTTGGCCTAGCCTGAGTTGGCCCACTTCCTGCTCTGGTACTCACCAGCAGGTACAGTGGCTTTGCCCAACCAGGTCATACCCATTCTAATTCTTACCATTGGTGCTGCAGCCCAGCCCTGCCTGGCTCACCCCCAGACTGACTCTCATATGATTCAATTAGTGTGGAGATCTAATCCTGCCTGTTTTCCACACACCATGGCTCTTGTGAGCACCAATAGGTGCTCAAATCTAGCCCAGTGTGGCACACCACAGATCCAGGCCACACCCATGCCAAGGGATGCTACAGCTGTGCCCAACCAACTTCATCACCCCAATTCCAGTTCTCATATTCACCAGCGAGAACTGCAGCCCATCAGGGGCATCCCCTTAGTTTCCCTACCAGGCCTGCTCCAAGGTACAGATCGTGTACATGCCAGTGGTTACTTCAACCCAACCCAGCATAACCCATCATCCAGCATGACCTTTGCCATTGGGTGCTACAGCCTAGCTCTGCCCAGCCTGCTCCCATCCCTGGCTTTCATACAAATTGGTAGGTGTCAAAACCTAGTTCAGAATGGCTTACACCCCAGTTTGGCTTCTGTGCTTGCCAGTGTGTTACAGCGTGTCCCAGTCCTGCTCGGTCTGTTGCACCAAGCCAATACACCTACCTGCAAAGAAGACTAGCAGCCTTGTCCAGCCAGACCAACACTCATCCATGGTTCTCATACTCACCTGAGAGAACTACAACCCACCAGTGGAGTTCTCCAAGTTTTCCCACCAAGCACACTCCCAAACCCAGATCTCATGCATGCCAGTGGGTTCTACACCCTTACCCAACTTAGTCTGCTCCCCAGTCTCTGCCTTTATGTGTCCTGGTGGATGTTGCAGTGTGATCTGTTCCCAATACCAGTTCTCATGAGTGTCAATGAGTTCTATGGTTATGCATAGTTTGGCCCATCACCCCACCCTCAATGCCAGTTCTTGAGCAAATGAATGGGTGTTGAAGTCCTACAGGGATAAATCCACATATTCCCAACAAAATCTGCATCCAGACCCGGTTCTTTCATGTGCTGGTTAGTGTCAGGTTCCTGGTCCCTGTTCTGACACTCACTAGCAGATACTGTGGTCCTACCCTGCCAGGCAGGCCCCTCAGCCCTAGCTTTTGTGTGCACCAGTAGGTGGTGGTTGATTCCAACTAGCCCTGTTCAGGTCCCCCAACTGGGCAGGTGCATTGATCTGACTCCAAAAGGTCCTCTGGTTTCCTTCCTCCAAACCATCCATTCTCAGCCCCTTTCTTTACCTGTAAGAACAGTAGCCTGGTTGATGGACGTCCCCCAGAAGTCATTCCTCACCTGTTACATTCTCCCTCAGCAATCTTCCCTCCTACACATTTGTTACCCACTTCCCTTAGCAATCCACAGCCCTCTTGCCCTTGAGTGCACAAGTTCCCAGCCTGGTCTTCTAGCAGTATGGTGCACTGGCCTGGGGTCCTGTCCACTTTCCCAGGGCCCATGCACACTTACATGCGTGTCCTCAGATAGCTTCTGCTGGTGTGCCAATATCTGCCCACCCCTAATAAATGACTATACTGGCACACTGATATATTGAACACAAATTTAGCGTTAAGCATTCCACCTGTTTTTCTCACAGCAGTGTTAACATTTGCCTAAGTACAAGGTAACCTACACATTTGCCTACAGCTGGATGTGGTTTCTTCATTTCCAAAATGAAAAAACTAGCCCACATGAGGAGTTGTCAACTCTCAACTCAAAGACCAAATCCAACCTGCCACATGTTTTTACAGTGTTAGTGGAGTACAGCCAGGCTTCACTTTTTGTTGCTTGCTTTATGTATTGTCTGATTGATTTCATGCTTCTTCAGCAGAGTAGAATAGTTGCCATAGAAACCACAGGCCCACAAAATCTAAAATTTTTACTTTTTTATCCTTTTGGGCGAAGGGAAGCTCATCACCATTACACAGTTACTATCTGATGCTAAGGTTTCCATTACAGGTGCAAACACAGAGCTCTTACGATTTTGGTAGAACTGTGGCACCCAATATTGAATGGAGAAATACAGAGCAAAACATGCAGAGAGCACTTATACAACTTGGCAATAAGTGTGTAAAGAGTGAAAAGTTTGTTTTATTCCAACTAATAATATCAAATTCTAGTTTACACTAAAGTGCTTGGAAATATCCCCTATTACCCTCAGCTGGTTAATTATACCTTTAAAAACTTAAAGGTTAAAACTAATGGGGCAGGGGTATCTGGGAGGAGGTCTTAAAAAGTTCATGGAAAATGCCTATAATGAATATTGCATAGCTTAAGAGCATTTGTTGTTAATAAAAAAAAAAAGTTTGCTTTTTGATGTGATTCATCCATGAAATTTTTCAAGGGCCCATGTATAATTTCACAGTGCCCTGTAATTGGGTAAGTGTTTTTAGGTGAAAATTGGGAATTTTTTTAATTAAAGGGACCACTGAGGCAGATGAAACAAGAAGAGTGTCCCCACCAACAAACTAATATGTTGCACAACAGAGGTTTCTCCAATTAGAAAAATACTGCAAGGTGAACATGTGGCCCAGTAGTTAAGATGCCAGTATGCTGTGTCAGAGTGCTTTGGTTCAAGTTCCAGCCTTGCTCAAGTTCCAGCCTTGCTCTTGGTTCTAGCTTCCTGCTAATGAACTGTGGGAGGTGGTAGTGATAGCTCAAGTAAGTTGGTTCTTAAGACCTACATTAAGAGCGCTAGGCTGAGTTCCCAGCTCCCGGCTTTGGCCCAACCCAATCGCAGCAATTACAGACAGTTGCAGAGTGAACTAGCAAATGAAAGAACTGTCTATCTGGCTCTCTCTTTTCCAAATAAATTTAATAAATAAATAAAGCTTGCAAAGAAAGAGAAAGTAACTTCAGTCTGCCTCTGGCATCTGTTGCTACTTTTTATTATGAACAGCAGAGTGATATCCAAGTCTGACTCCCCTTCCGTACCACAGGAAATGTCCCATGTTTCGATGACAAGCAGGGCAAGACTTTTTCATTGCCAGGACTCAGCTTAGCATATGGATTGCTTTTTGGAGTCTGAGATTCTTGATGGACTCCTCAGAATACCTTTCAGTTGCCCAGAATTCCATTTACTATAAATGAAGCAGTCACAATACTTACTGATTGAAGAAGTGAAAGATACTGAAATCAATCACACTATCTCCCAAGCCCAATCACTTCCACAGTTGGGGTCAGAATGTTCATCAAAGGTATTGCCTTCCCTAGAGAAACCTATAGTCCATGGAATGGGATGGGAAGGAACACCGCCAGAACCTAAACACATGAGGTCACCAATCACAGTCACAATCATCATCACATGCCCCCTTGGAACAAGGATCCAAGAGAATAAGGAGGTGATACAAGAAGAGCAAATCAAAAGTGTGCCTCATATTGTCAGTCTGGGTACTTCAGTCAGAGAAGTTCATTGCATGAGCAAAGGGGGAGGAAATCATGCAAGCCAGATTAAATACAGTAGGTAATGATCAGTACAATGAATTTGCTTATTAAAAATCAGGCCTGTGAAGCATTATTCACAATATCCAAGCTATGGATTCAACAGAGATAGTCAATGACAGATTAATGGCTAAAGCGCATGGAATATTATTCAACCATTAAAAGGGAATGAAATGCTATTATTTGCAGAACATGTGGATGGAACTGCAAAACAGTATGTTCCATAAGACAGAGACAGAGAGAAAATATTACATAATCTCTTTTCTATGTGCTAGCTGGATGGTGATCTCACAGAAGCAGAGAATGCACTAGTGGTTACCTAGGGAGCTTGTCAGGAAGCAGACAGTGAGAGAATGTTAACAGGTACAGGAATGCAATTGTGCAGCTGGAACAACTTCTGGTTTCTATAGCATGGTAGGATAACTATGGTGGAGAGCAATTATCTCACAAGGGCCAGTGGGGGAGGTTTGAATGTTCCCAACACAAAGAAATCACATGAGAGCTAATAACTGCCCATAGCCCCGATCTAATCATTATAAAATGCATTGTAGTTTGCAGTGCCACACTGTACCCCATAAATATGCACAATGGCTATATGTCACATAAAAATAATTAATTTAAATTCAGCTTGCGACCAACGGAAGTAAAAGAATATGAGGAAAAACAGAAGCATTAAAAAATGGGATCAGGATTAAAGGCCTAGAGAAGATAAGGAGAGAAGAAACTGGGCAAAGGAGGGAGGGGGCCAATGAACGAAAAATACCCACATACACCAATAAACCCATTTTCATTTGGAGTTTATGCTTGAAAACTAGTTAGGGCCCTCCATTTTAAACCTTCACTTCCCCTTTCCAATTTAGTTTGCAGTTTGATCGCCACTTGCTCTGTCCTAAGTAGATTACCTAATTCAAAGGGGTTGCTGAAAGGTACTGGATTTTTGTTTGGTTTGTAATGGTTCCATGGTGCTAATCTCTGTTCTTCCTCCCAAGGTGGATCGTATGTCCTTCCCATGTGGCTGCACTAAAGAAGGATGTAGTAACACAGCAGGTAGAATTGAGTTTAATCCCATCCGTGTCCGGACTCACTTTTTGCACACAATAATGAAACTTGAACTGGAGAAAAATCGGGAGCAGCAAATCCCCACACTGAACGGCTGCCACGGGGAGATAAGTGCTCACACTAGTTCCATGGTCCCTGTCGCCCACTCGGTAGAATACTCTATCACAGACAATTTTGAGATTGAAACTGAACCCCAAGCTGCAGTACTGCACCTGCAGTCCGCTGAGGAATTAGATTGCCAAGGAGAGGAGGAAGAAGAGGAGGAGGATGGGAGCAGCTTTTGCAGTGGAGTCACCGATTCCAGCACGCAAAGTCTGGCGCCTAGTGAGTCAGATGAGGAGGAGGAAGAAGAAGAGGAGGAGGAGGAGGAAGAGGACGATGAGGACAAGGGAGACAGCTTTGTGGAAGCTCTGGGCACACATGCAGAGGTTGTCCCACTTCCTTCAGTCCTTTGTTATTCTGATGGTACTGCCGTTCATGAAAGCCACACAAAAAATGCTCCTTTTTATGCCAGTTCCTCAACTCTGTATTACCAAATAGATAGCCACATTCCAGGAGCTCCCAATCAGATCTCTGAGAACTATTCAGAAAGAGATACTGTCAAAAATGGTACCCTTTCGCTGGTGCCTTACACCATGACCCCAGAGCAGTTCGTTGACTATGCCCGTCAAGCAGAAGAGGCCTATGGTGCCTCCCACTACCCAGCTGCCAACCCATCTGTGATTGTTTGCTGCTCCTCTGCTGAAAACGATAGTGGTGTGCCCTGCAATAGCTTATACCCCGAACACAGGTCCAATCACCCTCAAGTGGAATTTCACTCATACTTGAAAGGCCCCTCCCAGGAAGGATATGTCTCTGCACTGAATGGTGACAGTCACATTTCAGAGCACCCTGCTGAAAATTCTTTGAGCCTTGCCGAAAAGAGCAGATTGCACGAAGAATGCATCAAATCACCCGTGGTGGAGACTGTCCCTGTGTAGTAGCTGAAATCATTCCTAGGACCAACTCTTCTCCTATTTAAAGCACTGTATTGAATTGGATTTCCTGAGTGCAACATTGTTTTTACTGAAGTCTAAGAAAACTTGGACTGTGGTTAATCTTCCAGACTATATTTTGTTTTCTCCTTTCTAGCTACATGACTGTGGCAGTGCACAAATACAGTCTCTGTAAGGATTTTAAAAGATTTCAGACTGTTTTGATAGAAAATGCTAAATTTTAAAAATGCATATCTCACAGTTGCCTATCTGTCAAACTGTGTGAAACCTGCCAAGCTGTGTAGATCAGAGCTCCAAGTTTTGGATTATCGGGCCCGTGCAAGATTGTTATCTAAGACTGGGAAATACAGTTTAAAGTCCTAATTTTCAATATATCTGAAGACGAAGGGGACTTTTTAATGTAAAAGTTATTATTATAAGTCAAAGATTTAATTGCCCCATGTGTATTTTATTTATAGTAGTCTAGAAGCCACAATTCAATGAAAATGAATAGCAGCATGTTCATTCAAACTGAAGATGCATAGCTAGGACCACAGAGCATGCCCACTTGGATTGCATCTCGATCCATTCACATTTTTATGATCATTACTGATCAGATTTGCAAATACTTTCCTAAGGGTGAAATAGGCCTATTTTTGCTATTTTGGACAAATAAATGAGTGTATATGTGCAGGTCCTTCCACAGTTCTCTCTAAGGTTAAAAGTTAGGACAATCCTGTGGTGAGGGTCTTCTTCATTGCCCTCCCTCAGTTGACTCCAGAGATGGAGGTAGAAGGAATTGCCTTTCTTTTGTACACAGCAGCATCTTCGTTCTTAGCTTGGACAGCACCTTTAAACTCTACCCCCTTCATCAAAATGCACTTTAGTGCCCCTTCACGATACCTCGTGTGGGGTGGGGACTGACGACTCTTTGAAACAAGAAACATAAAAAAAAAATAGTTTTTTAAAAAAGATCTGTAACTATTTTGAAGTTCACACAGTTAATACAGAGGAATCATCCAATGATATTCATGAAGGAAAAATGACCTAATTTCCTTCAGTACTCTGAGTACCTGACTCAGTAAGGGCAGAGGAGGCTGAGGAAACATGCAGAAACACACCCTCCACATGCAGTGTTGGCTCCAGCCTGATAAATACATCCATTTAAAACATGTGTGAAACAAGATTGCCACTTGGTGATGCCAACTGAAGGGGTGGCCTCAACCCAAATACTCAAACCAGGCCTTCCTCTCCAGCATCTTGTTGATTTGTCTTGCCTGAGACGATTACCAGAAAAATCCAGAATGCATTGTATAATTTCTAATTACCTCATGTTCTCTATTGAAAGGGAACAGATAGAAAACATGCACTCCTTCACCTTTAGATTATCCATATTTGGTTCAACAGAGGACTTCTATAAAATAGTTTAGGTAACTAACTAATGTGCTCTACCATTTTAAGACGCAATATAACTGTGCTACATCTGTTTCACATTTTTGATCTGTTGTTATATCATTTCACATGTTTTAAGATTTTAGAAATGTGGACACACCTTGCTACTTGGTGACTGCATAGCAACTCATTTTTTGTCTTTTAGACTTGAGTATTTAGAAATACAGATATAAATGTGTTGTAGATCTCAATTCTTTTCAAAGATACTGTTTTATTTAATTGAACTTTAAAATGCTTGATCTAGAGAAAGGTCTCCAATGGAGACATTCCTACAAAAACTTGATTCGAGGAAAACATGTTTACTTGGCAGCTCTTCCACTGTGCAGTTGGTTCCTGTTCCTTCTCTTACCCACCACTCAGCTGAAATTATAGCAGTTCATACTGAAATTAAAGAAGCATTTTAGTTTATGATTATGACAGGAGCAGTAATTAAGAGAGTAATGTTTCCTTTGGATGATCAGCTCTTTTGGCTAACTAGGTTGAAGGTTTGCTCAAATCCTAGTAGTATATGCTGAGTTATCTGCAAAGTTACAGAGTTTAAAAGTTCATGGCAAAAACGATTTCCTCAACCAATGCACCCTAAAGAGCACTGCCCAAAAAGAAAGTGACAAGAACTGTTGCTGATTTATGCAAGCACAGGTATCAATCCGCCATTCCGTATTTGCTGGACACGTGTAAGCTCTGGAAGTTCTACATGGGAAATACTCTGAGATTATTCCTGGAACAGAGTGAGAAGAGTGGGGTGGAACCAACTCTAGCTGGGATTGAGCTGAAAGATGGAATGACAGTCTGGTTTCTAAATAAGATTTTAATTTTAGTTCAGCTTTATTTTTACAAGGAAGTTCGAAGCTACTTGTTTTTGGCCTAGTCTCTGTAATATAGCATTATTCTTCCAAAAAGATGCTTTAAAAACAGAATGTTTCTTGTTACCTCTTTCTGTCTTATTGGAATAGAAAGTTACTGCCCTGCAGAAAAGAATTCACCTTCAATCATCACAACTTTCCTTACAAAGTGTCATATAACTTATTCCTAAATATTTCCTACAAACAATATATACAAGCTGCACATTTTAACAACTGATATATACCTAACACACACACACACACACACACACACACACACACACACACACACGTTCACCAAAGTAGAGAATGACAGATTTTGATCATTGGCCAGGAACGAGTAATGGATGACTTTTTCCTACCTAAAATCTGGTTAGACTTTGATCTAAATTCTTGGTTCAAGTTGCAAATGATGGAATCATTTCATTGCTACATCATTTCCCAGAAAAGTGAAAGAGAAGAGTGTTCCACATGACTTTTCTTTTCTTCACAGTTAATAGTCGCTCCAATTAAACAAAAACTGCCCGCGTGCCAGGAAAGTGCTGCAGTTTTTCTTTTAAAAAGAGGATCAAGCTAGATACAGCTAGTTCTGATACTTAAGATCTTGATACCCAAACACAATAACCTGACTTGGCAGCTGTTGTATTGCTCCTGTAGTACAGCTAACCAAATTACAGTGTTTTCCATACACAACATTTTAGTCATTCATGCTCAATTGCAAAGCTTAGTGTTCCAGATTCTGTTGTTTTAGTACCATCCCTATCCTGTTAAATAAGGTTAATGCCCAAGTTATATTTCTGGCCAAATTCATTTGCAAGTCAAGTGGATCTCCAGCAACATCCATCTCTTTGGTTATTCTTGATTTCTTTTAGGAGACAGAAATTCATAAAAGAGTTTTACTGAAGCACCCCCCTTCCAAATATTTTGAACATCAATCACTAGATACATTCACTTGTCACCTGTCTTTTGGTTGGTTAAATGTAATAGTTACTTCTTGAAGGCCAGACTTTTTTGTGAGTGTGTCAGCCACATGATCAACTATGAAAATCTTTATAATCGTGTTTGGAACAGCAATACCGTTCCCATTCAAATAAAATCACAAATTCTAGAAACACTAACTACAAATTGATGAAGAAGTAGAGATTTTGTCAGGCTCTCTAAAATTTGTTCTTTAAAACTTGCTGCTCTTAGCAGATGTGTTCTAGGCAGAAGTCTGTTCTAGTTATCATTAAACAGGAAAATATACTGTGAATCATTTTCAGACATTGCATTATTACTTATTCTTTGATTTAAAATTTTATATTGTTGTACAAGTTTATAACTCTTTGGTCTTAACATTCAGAATGTACTGAGTATCAATTATTTCTTTCCATAATATTTATTGGACACCTGCTGTGTTGGAATAACTGCTCTGCATAGTAAAAAGAGAAAACACTTCCAACTCTAAGAGGTGACAATGTCGATAGTAGTGGTGGTGGTGATAATGATGATGATGGATAGCATGAAATAATCAAGCTTATTCATGTCCTTTTAGTCTGGTTTTACAACATGACATAAATTGCTGAGTAATTATATGCAAATCACAACTAAAATATGCTGCTTTTCCCTAAGCTAAGGAAATCCAATGACTTTTTTCTTCCTTCTCCCCTCAACTTAAGTGTGTGAATTAAACATAGACTGAAGCAGCTTAAAAGATTTTCAGCTAATTGGTTCTTCATTGTTGAACCTATATAAGTAATGTATATTTATACCAAAAACTCCTACCAGACCATGATGGGTTTGATTCATACATAACTCTGAAAATATTTCAGAAAATTTTGAAAGAACTATGGAAAATAATCACTTTCCTTCTGTACATTAGCTGCCTATCAACAGAAAAATCCTGTTCCCAGTTCCAAAGGCATCTCATTTTTAATTAGAGTTTTAAATGATCTGGTTGGTCATTAGAAAATTGTCATCCTCAGCAATCAACAAGGGATTTGTTAGATCTAAATAGGAAACTTTCTGTTTCGCCACCACAATTTAATGTCTCCTTAAAATGGCATCTTGCTCTTACTAAAAAAGAAAGAAAGGTTTACAGTATCATTATGATCAATGTAAAAAAAAAAAAAAAAACACATAGTAAGTGCCTCTGGGCTTCCAAAGGCAAGATTTGACTATAATTAGACCAGGTTTACTATATCCAGCACCAAAACTTAAGGCCTTGAACACTCCTAACATAAAACTCCAACTCTGATTGCATTATTTTTCTAAAGCTGGCTATCTTATGCTGGAGCAACTTAAACATCTAAGCCAAATGCCACAGTTTTGCACAAATAGCACAGCTCATCAGAAGTTTTCTGATGAAAACTTCTGTGTTAAAGAATCTAATTGGCTTAATTGACAGAATGCCGGTGATTTGAAAACTCACTGGAAATACAGAAGCATCAGGATATGAGTGAGGATGGAGTATAAGCTTAATAAGTGGCAGTGTCTCCCAGGAACTATGAAAGAGTTCCAGCAGGGGCAAGCTAGGCCTTATTAAACTAGGAAGTTCACATATGGCAGCCCAAATCCTAGAAGGGGCAGTTGCAGCATGGAAACCCTCATAGCCCAGCTGGTGCTCACTTCTCCTGGCCAGCATTCACTACTGTCAATTACATTTCATTATCTCTAGGGCATGCGATGTTTTAAAAAGCAAAAACACAAGCCTATGACATACTAAAGGAGCTATTTTTAAAGAATACAGACACATTTTATAGTAAAATGACTTGAGTTGTTGTTAAAAGTAAGAGATGGAAATAAAAGAACTCTTCTTTCATATTTTACTACTATATTATATATTCCATAGCTCATGGAGTCTGTCCCTGCCCAGTGTTACTCTGATTCCTTTTCTGGCTTTTCAAGCTAAACTCACTTCCTAAATAATGCGAATGTTTGTTTTGTGCTCTCCTTTTGAAAAACAGGATGGCACGCAGGAGCCTGTGTGTGTAACCTGATCCAAAGCCTAAACCAGTGTCTTTTCAGTTGTCTTTTATGTAGATTTTTTAAACAATTTTTTTTTAGCAGATAGCCTGGAATTTTAGTAACTATAAATGCTTGTTGTATCTATGGAAAATGAAATAATTGCAAAGATTTAAGTCATGCCGGTGACTATTTTCATTTACTTGTGATGAGTATGTCACTATACAGGGTAATTGCTTTTTAATTGACCCTTTTCACTTTTTCATAGTTCAAGAAAAGTCACCTCTAAAGCATCATTTTGCTTCATCTTTGACAAATTTCTATAGAACAGAAGTTTCAAATGAATATGATAGACTTTATTTTGGACAATCTTTGTATTCAATATGATAATGATGTCATTTCTCTTTGCATTATTCATTCATTACCATAGTGGTAGTCAAGATGAACCAGTAACTCACTCTGTGACAAGTGAGACCACTTAAACATTTTAGTGATAATGCATATTGATTAAAAATATCTGAAAAGGCAAATGTGCACAAAAAATTTGCTTTGTCTTTATCTAAGTTAATTTATATGACTTAATTGAATCTTTCTGCTGTAATTTTGGAGTATGTTCATTCTTAGATAACTCCTACTTCTCTTTTGGCCTTCTTTCAATGTTTTTAACTGGCGTAGGGCTATCTTAAAAGTTATTTATTAA